GAAATATTCCACCAGCCCAGGCTATTTGGGGAACTCTGTCTATATGTCTTCTATCTGGCAGGCTCAGGTATGTGAATTTCTTTCATGAGGAGTGAAAGTCCTAGAGAAACTGTAGACACTCCATGACTTTTTCTTTCTTAACCCCAGAAATCATGTAGTATCATTTGTACCACATTCTTTTATGCAGGCAGATGCTAAGTCTGGGGGAACAGAGGGCCCACCTCTTGATGGAAGGAGTGTCAAAGAATTACAAACATGTTAAAACAGCTCTATTAACCTTAGGCCCATCAGAATAGCAGCAGGTTTCTTAATGGAAACCGTAAAATCCAAAAGAGTTCAGAATGATGTCTCTCAACCCTTTCTTTGTCCTGTCCTTTTGAACTGGCCTGGAACTCACTGTGTAGACCAGGCTGGCCTTGAACTCACAGAGATCTGCCTGCCAAGTGCTGGGATTAAAGGTGTGTTCCACTATGCCCAGATCCTTCAACTTTTGAAAGACAATAACTGCTTTATCACAGCTAGTTCCATATTTTAGGCTCTGTTGCTTTAAACACACCACTTCTGGGTTATAAAAAATTCTGTTGGTTACATGTGACAATAGCACAATTCAAATCAGTAGATAGTCAAATCACAGAACTGTGGGGTGATTGGAGCCAGGGATTTCAATATCATGTTCCTTGCTCATTTAAAAAATGTTTTATTTATTATTTTTATTTTTCATGTGTATGAGTGTATTGCCTACATCTACCTAAGTGCACCCATGTCATGCGATGCCCTTGGAGGTCAGAAGAGGGCATCAAATTCCTTGGAACTGGAATTATGGATGGTTGCTAGTTGTCATGTGAGTGCTGGGATCTGAACCCAGGTCCTCTGCAAGGGCAGTCACTGCTCTTAACTGCTGAGCCATCTCTTCAGCCCCCTCCCCTTAAAAAAACAGATTAAAAAAATTTTATATGTATGAGTGTTTGCATGTATGTATGTATATTGCATGTGTTCCTGGTGCCCATGGAGGCCAGAAGAGGGCATTGGATCTTCTGGAATTGGAGTTATAAACAGTTGTGAGCCCCCATGTGGGTGCTAGGAACCCAAACCTCTGTCTTGTGCAAGAGCAGCAAGTGCTTTAACAACTTAGCCACATCTACAGCCCCTCCTTATTCCTTATGAGGAGTCCCAGGTGCTTAGGGTGTACATATTCATCCTTGCATCAATTATAGTACTCATGAGGTATGTACTGTGCTTGGAATAACTTGAAATGAGTATTTACCACTTGGTCAGCCACTATCACCAAGGTCATAGGAAAAAATAGCAAGTCTTGGGGCTGGAGAGATGGCTCAGTGGTTAAGAGCACTGACTGCTCTTGCAGAGGACCCAGGTTTGATTCCCAGCACCCACATGGTGGCTATAAACCGTCCTTAATTCCAATTCCAGAGGAATCCAAAGCCCTCTTCTGACCTCTGTGGCATTGCAAGACACGGGTGCACTCACATACATGCAGGCAATACACTCATACACATAAAATAAAACTAATAAATAAAATACTAAAATAAAACAAAATAAAACATAAAATAAAACTAATAAGTAAAATACTAAAAAAAAAAAAGACAAAGTAGCAAGTGTCATTGGACAGCATGGTGAGGGTTTGAAGGGAAGAACAGTTCCCTGAAGGAAGAGCGATCTTTGCTAGAATTATTAGGGGTGGTGGACGCCAAAGTCCTGTGAACATTTACATATAGCATTTCATGTACTGTGCAACAATCTACCATGAGGGTAGGTACTACTATTAACAAATTAAAATTGAAAATAGAAGATTAGAGATGGTCAAAGTCATATAGGTATGTGTGTTAGAATGAGTCCTTGAGTCCAGTTCCATTTGGGTTCAAAGTGTGACCTTAAACTTTTCTCCTAGTCTATAGCTCACACTCTTCAGTGGATACAGGCTAGAAACTCCAGGAGCTATAGATGGTGAGAGGGAGTACTGCACGATAAGGGGGACCCAGGTGGTCTCCACCCTCTGGCCGCCACATTTTGATCTTTCTCCTGCCTTCTATCTGTGTCTATCTGCTCTCCCCATTTCACCTTTGCTGCTTCCCTGTCTTCCACTCCTCCAAGTCCATGGACAGGGGTGGGATAGGGTCTGAGCTCTGTTGGTTACTTTGGTCCAGATGTCTGCATCCTTCCTGCCCCTAATTCAGCTGAAGTAAAGTTGGGTTTCCCCATAAGAACCTTATTAGGAAATGCTTTGGAAAACTGAACCTAAACCAAACAACATAGGGATACAAGTGGGAGGACGTGGCTATGACTGCAGAGTGCTGATGGCTTGTTTTGCTTTTACTGAAGTTCTGCCATAAGTTAGTTTGGCTGCTATTGTTTCCAGGCTCCTAACCCTCTTGTTTTTTCCCCTGCATTGCCTGGCATGCTTTCTAGGAGGCACACTCTTCAGCTCTTTCTAAAGGCTGGTCCCATATTTGGGTAGATGTAAGAGTCAGGTGTGATGGCTAATCTTCATTGTCAACCTGACTGGATTTAGAATCACCAAGAAAACACACCTCTGGATGTGTCTGTGATGGTGTTTCTAGAAAAGGTTAACTAAGGAGGGAAGACCCACCCTGGATGTGGGCAGTGCCTGGACTGGGATCCTAGGCTGAATAAAAAGGGGAAAGTGAGCTGAGCACCAATACTTATCTCTCTGCTTCCTGACTGCAGATGTAATGTGACCAGTTGTCTAGCTTCTGCTGCCATGACTTCTTTGCCATGATGGACTGTAAGCCTAAAGAAACCTTTTTATCCTTACGTTGCTTTTGTCAGGTATTTTGCCACAGCAATGAGAAAAATAACTAATAATCAGGATTCTCTAAAGGAAAAGAACCAGTGTGTGTGTGTGTGTGTGTGTGTGTGTGTGTGTGTGTGTGTGTGTGTTAGAGATTTTCAAAGGGGATTTATTAGATTGACTTACAGAACTGGAGCCTGGATAATTGTGTAGCAGCTATCTACATGCTACAAGCTAGCTAATCTGGCAGCTTTTCAATCCAAGAAGCTTAGGCCCTCCCCAGAAAGTACCTGGTATGAGTCCAGGTTGAAAGCCTGAAGATGCTAGGGTCAGACTCCCACAGGCAATGGCAGCAGCAGTAAACACCCTCACTCAGGAAGAGGGAGGCTTGCATACATTCTCTGGTTTCTTTCTCCTTCTATTTTGGGCCTCCAGCCTAATAGCATTTGGGTGTGTTTTTCTAACTCAGTTGCTGTCGCACAATGCCAACTGTCTCTGGAACCCCTTTACACCCAGGCATGCACAGAAATATGCTTTATTAATCTTCTAGATGTCTCTCAATTCAATTAAACTGGTAATCAAAATTAAACACCATATTGGGTTTAGTTTAGTTAGTCAGAAAGGTAAAGGTTCTCCAGTGGGCACATGGTTTCCAGGGAGGGCACCATTGTCTTTGACAGTGGCCCACTCTCATCTGTAAGAGGCTCTATGCCTTTTACCATCTAAGAGTGTATAGGATCACCTTGAAAGTTCCTGAATTTCTTCCATTTAGCTCATCTCAGGACCAAGATCATTGAGATTGTCATAACTGAAAGGAGATGAAAGCCTTTCACTTGAGTGTATACACAGCATATATACACATATGCACACATATGTAATAACGTAACACACACATGCACACACACATATCCTCCACTTTCCCTGGGGCTCCAAGGTCTCCTCTAGAGTATGGTGTAACAATCTGATCACTGTCATTTTTCAGTCTCAAAATGTTTCATAAATATGTAATGACAACTATCAAATAGGGGCTGGGGAACAAGAGAGTTTCCCTTTGGGCCTCCATGAACCCCAATATCCTAGAAAAACCTTCTGTTTACACAGGTGGAAAGCAGAAGGGCCTGAGGCAGGTGTTACTTCCAAGCTCGGGCCCAAAGCTTGAGGAGGAAGCACTGTATTTAAGCAGTTGAAAACCCCATGAAGTAACATTACAATACTTTGACAGCATAATTTTAATAAGTTTTTTACCCCTGGTACCAAGATTCATCAAATCATGGCTTGAAGCAATAGCAGGATGCTAAGGAGGGAAACAAGTGTTGAGACAGCAGCCATCGCTGTGGAGGGTGCTGGGGATGTTATTTGGTTATGAGAGTTGTTCACAGTGCTGACAGTCCCAAATGCCTTACTGACTTAAATTTTAAAAATGATTATTTAATGCATTCAGTTCTTCTGTCTGCCCTTGAGAGAACACTATTACGGCTTTCCCTGGTTGTGGAGGTGGAGCAGGCTGGAGCCACATCTTCGCCACCTGCTCCTCACTTGTCCTTCTTGTACAAATAGGGTTCTGCTCTGCCACATCGCAGGTTGCATCAGAAGCCAGGGAGAACTCAGCTTTTTCTGGGATACTTTAGAAGACATGCAGGAGAATGATGCTGTTAAAGGGGAAGCAGCCTCCAGACAGTGTTGGGCATCCTAGAAACACTGGAACTCATCCAGTGATTAAATAATTTGTTTCCTGTACACTTACTACACACCAGGTTTTGTTCTGGGTCCCAAGGTTGAAGGTAAGTAACAAACACCCCTACTTCCTGTCCTCTATGTATTATTCTGTGTCCTTATGTTGAGTCTTGGGAGAACTCCCACAGGGAGCTCTGAAATAGGTTTGCCTCCAGGTGCAACATGGCCCTAATGGACCCAAGATCAATTCAGGAACACAGTGACAGCGGCCCAGGTGTTCTTGGGAAGTATTAGAGGTATAAGACTCTGGTGCTTTTCTGGGTGCTGTACTAAGAAAGTAACTGGTCCTGGCTATAAAATATTTCCTTACTCCATAGTCCTGTGAGCACGGAGTCTCTGGGTTTCTGGCAATCTACTTTAAATGGGGGATAAAATCTGACTTATTCATTAGCATTAATAACAGATGGTTTGCAGATCTCTATGGCCCTAAGTAATACCAAATAAAAATGCCACACGTTTGTGAAGAATTTCATACTTAGAGTTGTCAAATCATGTCAGTTTTTTTTTTTTTTCCATTAACACCTTTTATTCGGTTACCCACACCAGCAAGGGCTTCCAAATGGCAATTTTTCCACATCAGAAGGTGGTTGTAACTTAAACAATTTGGACTTTTCCTGCTTCCAAAATGTTTATCAAATCCTGTGTCTCACAGGCTTCGAGCGTGTAGAAAATAAGAAATATTCCAATGAACGAAATATCCCAACGTCAGTGGTAAGCCAGAATCGCTCCTTTGGGGAAGTCTGTATATGCAAAGAGAGCAGGAAGTTCAGTCTTTCTTCTTCTTCTTCTTCTTTAAAAATCTATTATTCCTAAAGTATCAGTCCAGAAAACTGAAGTGAAGGACTAAAGGTCGGGAGAGGACGGGACGGGGTGGAACACACACCTCGAACACAGAGAAAGAAAACTGTACAGACTCAAGCAGTTTATAACAGACTACTCCAAGACACCAAAGGCCGGCTGAAGAAATTCACCATGCTGCAGGAGCTGGGGCTGTGTGCTGCGTGAAGATCAGTGTTGAGCAATTCACTGCCTCGGAGCAATCCCCCTGCCTACACCGAACCCTGGTTTCTGCACCATGCCTCCGCGGGGAGGGCCTCTCATTCCACCACTCAGCCCACCTCGGGGGCCTCCAGGTCCCCGAATGCGGTTATCCCGACGGTCCCCTTCCCTGGCGGCTCGAGTCTTCTTCTCCTCCACATTCAGGCGGACGGCGCCTCTGAACATGATGGGCTTGTTGCTGAGGACCCTCTGAACAGGCTCCGAATCATCAAACACGACAAAACCAAAGTTGGGTAACTTCCCGCCACTGTTAATGCGCAGCTCCACCACGTTCCCATAATCTACACATGAAGAAGATCCTCAGATGACCCCTTAGCACTTGGGAGCACTGAATGTGAGCACACAGTAGTAATATCTAGACAGATTCCGCTGGGCAATCAAATCTCGCTTGTCAAACTAAGATGCGCTGGGAATTTAAAGTACACACTTGATTTCAAAAACTTTATATTAAAAAATGCAAAATACAGCCAGGCATGGTGGTGCAAGCCTTGAAGCCCAGCACTCAGGAGGCAGAGGCAGGCAGATCTCTGTGAGTTCAGGGCCAGCCTGGTCTACGTACAGAGTTCCAGATCAGCTGATTCAAAAAGACCAAACTATTTAGACAAAACTCTTCTGAGACTGTAAGTGCACCAGCTTATGGGGTTTTGTTACTGTTTTTTAATTTTGGACCCAAGTCTAAACCTACAATTCACGTAGGCCACACTCGGTCCCTGTACACACCCAAAGGAACTCTGCAGCACCATAGCACGCCTAAAGTTCCTGACACTAAGGTTGGGTGGAATTCACTGGGTGCGGTGCTCACACTCAGGAAGTGTTACTTTGTGGGATCATAGAAAGTTCCAGAATCATCAGGTACCACCTCCGGTGTCTGCTGCCTTTCCTCCGGTTCTTCTACTTCCTCCTCAGATTCCACCTGGGGCTCCGTAACAAAGCCACCAAAGACCTCATCTTGGTATCTGAAGATGTCATTGTGAACGTAGAACTTGTTGGCCACTGAGCCCTCAGGAGCGAGGACGAAGGTCTGCATGAACCTCTGCAAGGCCTGATTGTTGTTGGACAGCAGCCCCATCACTTGCACCACCACGCCGTCATTGAGCGTGGCATGAGCGTCCACGTGGCGGATCTTAGTGTGGCAGTTGGTGAAGTTTTGTGACATCACTTTCCGATGAATTTCCTTCTGTCCATAGACCGCATCTGCTGGCTTTCCATTTGAATCCAGGCCCCCATGGACATAGGAAGAGTTCTTTCCATAAAATCTGTGCAGCATGTCCGGGGCCTGGTTCAGCAGTGTGTAGTACTGTCGCACAAATTCCCGCCCGACCAGCAGGGGACTAGGCTTCTCCATAACCATTGCTTTGGTCAGTTCAACCTGCGCGGATGAGCGGGAGAGGACCGGGCGCTGCTCCGGAGGACGACGGTGACAGGGACCCCTCGCGCAAATACGGCCGCCCATGTCAGTTTTTTTAACCTCAGCAGTATCTCTCCCATCCGTCAATTTCTTCCTTCCCATCTTGACTGTCTTAGTTCAATCCCTCATTCTCTCCTGTCCAAGATTATTGTATTTGTTTATCTGTTTTCTTTTTTTAAATTTTATTTATTATTTTTATTTTATGTGTACGCGTGTATTGCCTGCATGTAAGTGCACCCGTGTTGTGCAATGCCCACGGAGGTCAGAAGAGGCTGTCGGATCCCCTGGAACTGGAGTTACGACAGTTGTTACTACGCTGCCATGGGGTGATGGGATTCAAACCCAGGTCTTCTGTAAGAACAACTAGTGTTTTTAACTGCTGAGCCATCTCTCCAGCCCCTGTATCTGTTTTCTTAATCGTTTCTCTGACTCCATTCTCTCTACTTTTGAAATTAACCCACATAATGCTGTCAGATTGATTTCCTTATGTATAACTCGAATCGAGTCATTCCTTGGCATAGACAGATTTTTATGACCTCTTCCCATGGCTTGTTAAATTAACAGGGCACTCTTTCAGTCCAGCACACAGAAACCCCCTGAACTGTATTTCTTCTGTACCTGACATTTCAGCCAGATTGGGTATCACTGCTCTGCAAGCCTGTCCTGTATCTTGTTGCGTCTGATAATTGCTTCCCCTAGCCTGCCAGCCGGAATGTTTGTTTTCCTGATCTTTGTCTACTATGACCATACTTATCCTTCAGGTCCCCCCAAAATACCTTCTCAGGGGCTGGAGAGGAGGCTCAGATGGTAAAGTGTTGCTGTGAAGCACAAAGACTCGATTTTGATCCCAAGCACTCCTGTAAAAACAACAACCACCCAACAAGAACAAAACGACCTGGTGGTGCTCGCATGTAATTCCAGTGCTGGGAGGCAGAGACAGGGATAATCTGGGGGCTTGCTGGTCAGCCAGTTTAGCGAATCAGCAGGCTTCGGATTCAGTGAGAGACATGTGCACAAGCATATACACCCAAGTGCTTCTTTAGTCTTACAGCCTTCCCTGTTCCCACAATGGGATGTCATTTTGTCTACCTTGACCAACTAGAGCAAGCATTCTGTCCCTTTCTTATGACAGTTATCATAATTAGTGATGAGTACCCTCTTGAGATAGCAAGCTCTCAAGGGTAGTGACTTACATGAGACACTCAAAACAAAACAAAACAGAATAAAACAAAAAAACCAAATGCCATTGTTTCTGGTGATAGAGGAGTTCACCCAGCTGTGCATGTTTGGCCTTGCTTTGTGGAAAAATAGGACAGATTCTTCAGATCTTGTCCCAGTGTGATGACAAGTCAATAGATGATTACATTTTGTATACATGTTCATTGACTATATGATGTGTGAAGTCCAACTCAAGCTAGTTTTAATAAACAAGGGGGATACTTAGAAGGATGTGAGTTTGCAGAACTGTCCAGAAAGATGAAGGAACCAGGGCAATTTAAGGGACCTCAGGGACTGAACCCAACAGCTCTGCTTGTTGGGCAGACCCTTTTATGTGTCACTTTGGTTTCTCCCTGGAACTGAACTTTAAAGTAAGAGTGGAGGATTGAGTAGGAGCAGGGAGGGGGCGGACTCATTTGGGTCATATATGATCAAATAAGGTGATTATGTAAATGACTAATCTCAGTGCTGTTTCTTTTGACCCAAACTGCAAGATTTATGTGAAGACAACTTTCAAACTCTGTAATTGTGTCCTCTGGCTCTTGTTGAGGAAGCAAACTTACTGGGGCAGGCTGTCTCTTCCTTTCACAGATGGAAAGAAGAATGGAAATGTCATGTGTGAATGTCAGTGTATCCCCAAATTTCCTATATTGAAATCCTTGTCGCAAAGTGATGGGATTAAGAGGTGGAAACTTTTGGAGGTCATTAGGTCATGAAAATATAATCCTCAAGAATGGAATTAATGCTCCTATAAGAGGCCTGAGAAGTTGTGCTGCTCTGTCCTCCATGTGAAGACACAGTAGGAAGGTACCATCTATGAACATTTGACACCAAATCTGTAATTAGACACCAACTATGTGGGTACCTTGGCCTTAAATTTCTTAGCCTCCAGAAGTGTGAGAAAGAAGTTTCTGCTCTTTATAAGCTACCTAGTTTGGATATTTCATTACAGGATCTTGAAGGAGGGTCAGGAGGGACAAGCAGCAAAGAGCTCATGACTGGAGCTGGAGAGGGATGGCCTAGATGGAGGAAGCATGGAGGGGTGGGTGACAAAACAAAAGGAAAGTCACAGTTCCAGACTTATTCCAGCTTTAGGTATGGTGCATGAGAGGCTGCACATTTAGCGACCAGGAACTGACGAATATGTCCTGGTTCCTGGAGCAATTAAATCACTTGAAAGGACTTGTAAGAATAACTGAGGAAGCAGGTAACGAGATACACAGATCTGTGAGTCTATGGCTGACGATAAGAAACATCTGCCTACCAGAGGTAACCTGAATATTTCATGTTGTGAATCTATAAATATTTAAGTACATTCAAATATTTAGCTACTAAAACTGCCTCTCTAAAAAATGAGATTCTCTGAATACAGGGCTATTTTTCTCAAGGCAAAATCTAGTCTAAGCAATTCATTTAAAAAATCTTTTTTGACAACTTATCATTGATTACAGAATACAGCTCAGTGCATGGTAGAATCCCTTCTGATACACTGATCAGACAGAGTGTAATAAAAGTTCCAATCTGGCTATCTCTCATCATACCATGGGATGTCAGAAAACCTCCCCTAGCTTCCTGACATTTACAAATCAGATCATTTTCTCACTCTCTCCATGGGAGTCTTGCAAGACTCTCTACTGGGCAAAACAATGCCCCCAGTGTGGAAAATATATGCACTGAGGAAATGATCAACAACAATAATGACAACATGACAGCTAACAGTGGGGTTGGGCACTTGTGAAGGGTGCGTGGGGAAGACACAGCTCTGGGACGTTTGACCACAGTTCATCCTCAGGCAGATTACTGATATGGAAATGGAGGCTCTGGACATCAATTCCCCCTCAACCGTTGTGCCTGCTTATCTTCTCGGAGGCCTTCCTTAGTCCATGGCTTGAATTTCCAAGTTTGAGTGTTACAGCTTTCCACACTCTCTCAAATTCTTTGCACCTACAGGTACTCCTTTCTTTCTTGACATTTTCCCCTCAATTTAAGGAAAGACCCTCTCTATGGCCCCTGAACAAAAAGGGCCTCAGTAAGTCTCAATCTGTCCCTATTAATTCTACCATTATATCCTAAATCCCAAAGATTTCTACTGTGTTCCCATCATAGCCCACCTTGAGCACTTCCTGCTCTATTACTTGATAACTGGATATCTGGACACTAGTTCTGCTAGCTACTTAGAAGGAGTTGGGTTGGGGGCCCTGGAGAAATGGCTCAGCAGTTAAGAAAAATGGCTACTGCTGCAGAGGAACCAGTTTGGCTCCTGGCCCCCACAGGGCTAAAAACCCTTTGTAACTCCAGTCACAGGGGATTTGAGGGCACTGCACACATGTGGTGCACATACATACACTCATACATGTAAAAAATACATTAACAAAATTTAAAAAGAAAGGCCCATGGGATTCATGCCCACGGAGACACAGAAGAGATGTGTGCAAAGGCATCAGTATGCACTAGTAAGGGAGGTAGATCACTTGCTTAAGGGTCACACTGGTGGTGAGTGTGGCAGTTGGAGTCAAGTTCTAGCTGTCTGTTTCCAGGTGGGTGGCCATGGACCAGTTCTTCAGATGGTGGCTCTTATTAGATAGAATGAATGGAGGGACTGGGGATATAGCTCAGTGGTAGAACACTGACCTAACATTCAATCTCTAGTACCACTAAAAATTGATATTAAAAAAGAACAAATTCAAAGTAGATAGAAAGAATGGAAAAGTCCCCTCTCTTCAGAAGCTGTCCTCAGGGAGAGACACCTTGTCATATATGCATAGAGCTTCAGTCACTGTTCTTGGCACGGTCATAGCTTGCTGCTTACCCTTACTGCTCTGTTTCCTGTCTGTTCACTCCTCCTAATCTTCAAGGTGCAGAGTAAAATCTTTTGACAATGTTTGCTAGATGTCAAGTGTTTGTATTTTTTGATCTAACAATTCTACTTCTAGGTTTTTAAACTAGGAAGAGATGTAAGGGCGAGAGACTCAATTTTAGGGCTATCCATTGCAGTTTTTCTTGAAACACCAAGAGGTGGAAACAACCTAAATGAACACCCTCTCATTGGGGAAGGCAAAATAAAGTTTGAGAGTGCCTCACAATGGAGTAGTATGCAGCTGTCTGAAAAATGAGATTGGTGCAACACAGAGGATGTTCATGAGATAGTTATGTGCTGAATAACTGCATTCAGGCCAACAAGAGACCAAATATACTATCACAGGCCCATAAGAGTATGTCACCTAACAACAGACCCATTTTAGTGTGAATAACTATATTCTATGTATGATATTAGAATGACCGTTTTGGCTAGTGGGACATTTATGAGAACATATCACTATTGTTAAGTCATCTATAACTATGTAATGTTAAGTGAAAACAAATCATACTGTAAAACAATATTGGCTATATCACTTAATGCTCCTTAAAAAAGAAAGAATAAATGGGTAAAAGAGCTGCGGAGGTAGCTCAGTGGTGGAATGCTTGTCTAACAGGAGCAAGAGGCCCCAGTACTGAAAACAAGCAAGTAAGCAAGCAAATAGAAACAGAATGAAACAAAGTAAAAATCCAAGGAATTGATTCAGAGGTATATTGAACTATCAACATACATTATCTTTGGAGAGTAGTGGTCCACATGGTACTTAAGAAAAAAATATACTTGTAAAGGGAACAGAAGGCTGTATGGGCTAGTTTTTATTTAGACAGCACAGTGCTGATAAGGATATCTAGCATTGGTCAAGATGGCTAACGCTGGGGCACTATGAGTCAACACAAATGGCTGACACCAGATATCTGGGGAACCCAAAAGTAAATGCCACTTTTGTGTCCCTTCCTTCCTTC